GGCCATAGATAGAACCTAAATAAATGTTTTTAATTGTATACCAGTTTAACGTTGAATATTATTTATGATTTTATCCTACTATTATGATTCAACGGTTTGATTCGAATATCATGACATAATACTAATAGAAGGGAAACTAACACCATGTTATTAGAATGCGAGTTACCAGTATGAACAGCTAATCGCAGGTGGTAATCTTACTATTATGATTCAACGGTTTTATCCCAAGAACTCGATGTGATAGAAAGTAATCTAGCATCGTTAGAAGGTGAGTTAAAAGTATGAACAGCTAATTAAACCCGTTAAAGATTCGGGTTAACGGTTTGGGGAAGAAACTGTTTTCAAAAGTTAAAATGTTTCTAATATTCCAGTCTAGCTCTTGGCATTTTGTTCAGGATTTAAATATACATACTAATACATATGTATGTATAATAAATCTCATCCTCCTATTTGACTGACCATGCAAGTTATTCGGGCTTTTTTGTGAAAGCAAATCAATAACAAAACAATTAAATTCCAAACCTTTAACTTTTCAGCAAATTAGTTCAAACAAACATACATAAAAATGTTTAAAGCATTTAGAAATTTTAAAAACAAAGAACTCTTGGACTTACAAGTGATTTTTAACTGACTTTACAAACTTCCACTTTGGCAAGTGAAATCGGTTTCTTTACAAATTAATTGACCTCTGGAGACCTACACGGTTGTTAAACTGTTTACTAGGATTCTAACATTACAGGGGATTGAGATATGTTACGGAATTTTCACCAATTGGAAGTTTCTAGAAGTTAGCAGCAGTAAAAGGGAACAAAGCTTACTCTCAAAGCATGTTGGTCTATCTCCAGAAATATATCAGGATTAGGGACCATCTCCTTCTTCTTACAAGGTGGGGGGCAGGCAGCATATTCGGGAGCTTCGTCTGTAATTGGATCATTATCAGTCTGAGCTGCAGTTTCTATTTTATTTGTAGACTCATAAGTGCATTTAGGTACTACACTCATGTCGTGACGAGAGATGTCTTCAGACTCTCTTGGTGAACTTGTAATGCTTCCTTGAATGTTTACTTTATTAGATCGGTAGTATCTGGTGGCCGAAAACGACTCGCCGAGTTTTCTTTCTATATGAGCAAAAGGTGACGTCGCGTCTTTAGGGTACTGTACATTGTTAGAACAGTCAGTATTTGCTGCTAACGCGACTGGAACAAAGTCCATTTGAGATTCAAAATCCACTTTAGTTGATTTATATGGCCTGACGGTTAGATCAGATTTGTATCCTGAGGTGTGGCTTGATATAATTCCACTGGTCTGTGTCGATGAAGACTGGCGGACCGTTTGTGTAGAGTGATTCACTTTGGAAGTTACTACCTGAATACCGATATCAATGGTTATCTTGTCATCCGTTTGTGAAGAGCTGTGACATAATTTCCCCTGTGGAAGATTCGTCTGTACTTTCACGCTTTTTACAGAATCTTTCTCGTTTAGTGTTCCGGCCAGTGTCTGCGTTTCCACGTCCAATATATCTGGTCCTTGAAAATCTTCAAAATAAGATTCCTCCAGGTCTTCACCTGGAAACGAAGGAATATCTGTTTGAGTGACAGAGTCAACGAGCTCAAACATATGTTCAACTTGAATCCCGAGATCAACTAATTCGGGTTTTTTCCTTAATATAGCACCTTGGTTATCAGATTTAGGTCCTGCACATGCCAAGTGAAGCAGCACTAGTGCCTTGCTGAAAGGCGACACCGCTCGGAAGTTTTTACTTGATCCGCAACCCATAACTCCTACAAGTGAAAAAAAAAAAAAAAAAACGAAGAGAAAAGAAAGATAATCATAAAAAATAACATAATCAAAGTTTAAGCCAAACAAGTTCTAACATTATTATGAATATTTATAAACAAGGATCCATTCAAATCCAAATCTAACATGCTGTTGGCAAAATCTTAAACGTGACGAACTCGTCAGTGAATGTTCAAGGCGTTGTATTTTAACCTTTATAGCAGTTATAAGCTCATTAGCGTCGCAAGGATACTTAGTAAAGGAAGGCCTAGATATTATTACTTAGAGTAATCCATTTTCGATAATTCCTGTGATGCATCTAATTAAAAATTTTGGGAAAAATTATTCCCTAAAAATAGAAAAGATATACTAATTATCAATTCAGTTCATTTGTTTGTTTCATTCAAAACACATATATTAGAATATTATAAAAGTAAGTAGCACTTTTT